TATTGGTTCCCCAGCTGTCTGGGTCCCCGAGACTAGGAATGGCGCAGGGCCCAAACTAGGAGTATAGAACGGCGGGGGAGGGGATGGAAGGGTGAATATTGCTTAGGGAGTCCCGGCGCGGAGAGCTGCGCTATAGACTTACCCCAAGAGGCCTGAGGATAGTAGTCTCTTTTTTGTTTTATTTACTACTTTTGTAGTACCAGAGATAGAACCCAGGACCTTAGGCATACAGTTATCAACTTGTTCTAGTGCCATCTGTTGAAGACCTTTTCCTCAGTGAACTGATTTTGGACACACTGGTTTTTAAATCAAGTGACTATATATATGTGCATTTATTTCCTGGCCCTCTATTCTGTTACACTGACCTACTTGTCCTTATGCAAGCCCTACTTTGTCTTGATTACTGTCATTTTAGAGTAAGTCTTCAAATCTGGTAGCCTATGCCTTGAAACACATGGTCACTAAACATTTAGAATTTTAAGAGTTTGTCTTTAGGACATACATTAAAAAAACAGCAAAGGTTTGGGGTTTTTCTTTTTGTTTTTTTTAGAGGAGATAAAAAAATTCTTAAAATTATATGTGATGGTGCAATTACCACAGCCAGTTAATGATTTCCATTCACTCCTTGTATGCTAATAAACATTATTATTTGCTTAGGGTTTTGGAAAACTCATTATTTAAGCAAGACGAGTAAGGCAGGATTAAGGGACAAAACCTCTTAGTAAAAAGTTTCAGAATCTCTACCTCCATCTTCACAGTCTTCAGGGGCTTTGGCTTTCTTACAGAGACGAGGATCCAACCAGGTGGTTGTCTTAGTATTATGGCTGTGGAATAAAGGTCTCAATTAGAAATAGAAAAATAAAGAGGGAGAAAAGAATTTCAAAAGCAGAGATTGAAAGTGACTAAAAAAGCATATGGCATTGGAACATTTATCTCCCACAGGCGCAATTCATTTACCACAGATTCAGTAATCCTATTCTCAATCTGTTACTTTGAAACTATCACACAGAAAAGGTAATGCTAGAGGCACAAATCCGAGAATGAAGATTTTAAAGAAGAGATCAAATGCCAAGTACAAAATGATGCACTTATTTAAGCAGTCAAAAACATTTTGAAGGGTGGGCTATAGCCACATACTATGCATAATCTAGCTAGCAAAGCTGCACTGAAAATCATGTTTGCAGGCCTGGCATGGTAATGCGCGCCGTCATCCCAGCACTTGGGAGGCAGAGGCAGGTGGGTTCAAGGCCAGTTTGGTCTACATAGTGAGTTCCAGGACAGCTGAGGCTATGGGGAGACCCTGTTTCAAAAGGACCAGAGGGGAGAGAAAAAGTTTGCTTTCTGTGTGAAGTCTCTCCCCATCCTTTAAAAAGTACTATATTTTTTGAGTATTTGTGGTATGTATGTACTGTGCTGGGGGCTGAAAATGCAGAGGAAAATGATTAGAGTTTTTGTCCTCAGAGACTATTTTAAAGTTTTAAAGAAGCTATTTCTGCAACATAGAGTGAAATCAATGGGTATGGTTAAACATCATTATATAAAACTGTATTTTCATCAATATGGACCACATGAGGAAAAAGAAAAAAGGTAGAACAGAAAAATATTACTACCACCCTTTTCCATGAAATAGGCCAAGTATCCTACTAGAGAACAATATGTTCAATTTAATAATAGGCCACAGTCACCCAGCTTCAGGCCAGGTCACCACACAATAGATAGTAATGTTATAAATTGTCCTTGAAATTCCTAAAATTGTCCATACAAAAGAGTATACATGGTTGTGTCTGTGTAAGAACGGTCACTAATGTTTATATGACTATATAAGAGAGTTTACTATATGTAGTAAAAATTGTCATGTACTCAAAATCTGTCTAGATTCCACTAGACTCCAATTAGGTAGAACAAATCTATAGAAAGGATGTGGAACTGAGACCATTTGAGGAAGCAAATTGAAGTCTCTACCCTTAATTTCTGAGTATATAAACTACATATATTATATATATTCATTCTTTGAGTGTAGGGCCTCCTAGCCCTTAGTATTTTTACTGTCAATTATTATACTCTGTAACTTTTCTACATTAATATTCCACCTCTGAGCAAACGGCTTTAAAGTATGAATTCCAGGGGGGTGCTATGTGTGGGTACCAGTGGGGATGGGGGTATAAAGATGATTAAGATTGATAGAGATGTTCTGTATTAAATTCACAAAAATTCAATTAAAACAAAATTTTTTTTAAAAAATGAGAATTACAAGTGCATAGAAATATAAAAATTCTTCATAATGAACTTTGAATAAATTATTTGAATAATGTTCTCTGGAACAAACAATTTTAGATTGATCTATTCATGTGGTATTCAGTACCACTATGAATATTATATTAATGTTTTTCCATAAAAAGTACCTATTGTACCAATTATTCTGAAGATTGGTGGTATTTTCCTCCTTTATTACTTAACTATATTGTTTGAATCCATAAACATCAATCTCTAGTACTGAAAATACTCAGCTCAGATAATGATATGCCTCTCTCCATAATGGTAATTCTTGAAATGCTCATTAAATTGGACCATCTGCCTAAAAGGTTTAAAAGTTATAAAAGAGCAAAGCAAAACATCTTTTATTCCTTTCATTTTTCATCATGTAGTTTTAAACCTCCTATATCTATAAAACCAGAGATCAGGGCTAAGGAGATGCTCAGTTGGTAAAGTGCTTGCTGTACAAGCATGAGGACATGAATTCCAGAGTCTATATAAAGGGCATGGTGGGGTGTGCCTGGAATTCTAGTACTGAGGAGATGGAGACAGGAGCTCCTTGGCCATCTAGCACAGGTAGCCTGATTGTTGAGCTCCAAGCCAATGAGAGATCCTATCTAAAAAAATGTGGTGGACAGAACCTCAGAATGACACTTGAGGTTGTCCTTTGGCCTCTACAAATGTGCACAAATGCACATATACACCTCCTCCACAGACATACCAGAGGCCAAATGTACTATTCCTATAAGTTTAAATGAAAAATGAAATGTCATCTAAGGGAATAATTGAACTAAGAAATTGGCTATTGGTTATATGAAAAATAGTTTTAAATAAACATATGGAAAGGCTGGTGAAATAGGTACAAATAACCAAAGTAAGGTTAAAAAATTTTAGTCCATCCTAACTGTGACAGGGCATGCTGGAAGTGATATAAACATTTGCTTACTCAATGAAGTAGATCATTCCTGTGTCAGTGTAGGCCATTTCCCAGTTTTTAGGTAGTGGTTCCAGATTCTCATCTCTTGTCATATAATTTCTAAAGTCCATGGAGCTATTTGTTTGGTTATAACTTGGAACAGTCTTCATCCAGCAGTCAGATGACTCAGAACGCATCTCTCTGTTTTCTGTCATTATTCCAAGTAGAACAACATAAAGTGTAGGCAAAGTTTATTTTTTGAACAAAATGTCAAGTGCATAATCTATGCACATGTAACAATGTAATTATATGCTGCCAATTTCCTTGCCTATTATGTTTATATTCTTTTATTCATTTTAGAAATAATAAACATATTCAACTTTTTGTTTTCTAATTAAAATCAACTACACAGCACCTCTAATGCTAGTCTGGGAAAGTAGCAAAAACACCACCAGAATCAATTTAGTATAAACTCTAATAGCAGCAGCAGTAGCTTAGACAGTTCTTTTATGAGTAACACTGTATTTTAACTCATGTATTAACTCATAATCCTCATAGCAACCCTATAATTATTATCATCATTTTACAGACTGAGGAACCTACACCAGAGAGAGGTTAAGTTAGTCAAGGCTACACAGCCATTAAACAGCAAAAAAAAAGTGTTCCATGCTCTTAACTATACTAAGCTGCTTCATGACACAGGTCTTTAAATAATACTTTATTTTTAAAAGCTAAATATAATTCTCTGGTAATACTAAAATCCTTTTAGAGTCTCAAAGTCTATAATGTAAGTATGTTAAAACCTGCTTATTGTCTAAGGAGTTCACAACTAAAAAGTATGACTAGGGGCTGGAGAGATGGCTCAGCAGTTAAGAGCACTGACTACTTTTGCGGAGAACCCGGGTTCAATTCCCAGCACCCACATGGCAGCTAACAGCCATCTGTAACTCCAGTTCCAGGGGATCCGATGCCCTCTTCTGACCTCCGAAGGCACTGTATGACACAGGTATACTCACAAGCAGGAAATACACTTATACACATAAAATAAAAATAGTAAAAATTAAAAAAAATGTCTAGAACTTAAAAAAAAAGAAATCACATGACATCATTTTCATAATTCCAAACTACAGGTAATACTTCTGAATCAGAGAATCTGAGAAAAATCCTTTGATATCATCAAATACCATTCCATATAGAACTTCAGCTCTAATCATACTTTGGATAAATTTGGTCACACAATTATTAATCTTCACTGTTCTTTACCTTTTATCCCTGTCTCTACTCATCTTACTCAAATTCCACAGTTAACTACTGTAATCCATTGTAAATGCTTCTGATTTCTGTACCCCAATGTTACTTCATCTTACTTGCCCAGCTAAACCCAAACTCTGTTTAAGCCTTACTTCACTTACCTTGTCAGCACACAGAGTCTCAGAGCATAAGCAATGCTATAACTAGCTCACTTTAAATTCATAATCACTAGCTTCAGTGGGCACTTAATGATACACGACAACCACTGTGCACTTCTTCAGTCCATTCAGTAATACAGTCTCCTAGAGAACTATTTCATAACTTGCCCCTTATTTGTGGGGACATAGTCTAAGAGCCCCTGAAACCACAGATAGTTGAAGCCTACATATATTGTTATTTTTCTCTACATACACAGTTTCATTTATTAACTAGTAACAACTAAAATATAAGTTATAACAGTATACTATAATAAGTCATACAAATATATCTTATCTCTTGCTCTCCCAAGATATCTTACTGGACTGAGGTATTTTCAGGCCACAGTTGTGGGTAATATATAACCATGGAAAGTGAAATTGCAGATGATGGATGACCACTGTAGTGCTTTTCTCTTATCGCTAATCACATGATGACCTTATTAGCGCTTATTCCAGTGAGAAAACAGAAGCAAGTACGAGCACAAGAAAACTTCTCCAAACTCCCACCATCCCACTGACACAGCAACCATGCACATTTACATCATCAACAATTTGTTACTACTTGCTAAGGTTAATCCTCTCTATAAATAATATCTGAATCCCTCCTGCCTTCAGCCACTTTGTCACTCTCCTTCCCACACCACCAATCTTTCCTATCTATTAGATCATATGCATCCACATGCCCTCTGACAAGCACCTTGATTTCTCCACTCTTAATGTAAAACCACCTTGAGCAAAGTTTAGACTTGCTACCTCCACTTCCATTCTTCCATTTCTCTGTGAGCCTTACCTCACAAAGACTTTTGTACTCCTTTGTACTTCCCAAAGTCACCAATGATTTATACACTGCTAAATTCAATGACAATTCTCAGGCCACAGCTTATTTTAACTGTCTGTAGCATCTGACATAACTGGCTACGTTCTTCCTCTTACACTTGTAACCTGACTGCTACCCCTATTCGTGCCCATGCCCTCCTACTGCCTATTTTCAATACAGGAGCTAGAAAGAGTCTGTTAAAATCTGTTGTAGATTATTCTTCTCAAAATGCAATTGTGGCTTCTCATCTTAAAGTAAAAACCCTCATCCTTTCAATGACCTACAGTAATTTGTGACAAGCATTCTCCCCTTCCCTATCATTACTTATGGACTACTATTCTATTCTTCTGCCATCCATAATTCTGCTCTCACCACATACAATGCATTGGCCACACTGGATCCAAACACACTGGCTTCCTTGTTGTTTTCTTAAGATTCCAGGTATACACTCACTTCAGGGCATTTGAACTTACAGTGCCTATCAGGAATAGGCTTCTCTCAGATACTTGGAGTTTATTTATTCATTTGTTTCAAGTCTTTTATGTCACTTTTTCTAAAATTGCAAACTTAACCACCAATACATCTTTTCTGCATCCTCTAGCATCAAATACTAGGTATGTTATTCACTTATGTTACCCAGTTATGATTCTCCCATCAGAAAGTAAAGTCCATGAGGACAGGAGCTTTTGTCTGTTTAGTTCACTGTTTTATTTCTGGCATGTAGACAAATGGCTAGCATTTAGTAGCCCAGCAGAGGCACAAAAACTATTTCCTGAATGAATAAATGAATCAGGTGCATACTTAATTTCCTTCACAGAATATGTAATAGAAATTAAAAGGTATACAATGTGGAAATCAATCTGGAAATGTTACATTTTGGGAGCTAAGTGTATTAGACAAAATCACCAGCAACTATATGATCTAAGACTTTTCTTAATAGAATTCCAAATGACTGAATAAAGGAGTTTACTTAATAGTCAGTCAGTTGGGAATATGTTGTTTATATTATACTCCCTTGAAAAAAAGTTCAGTATTGCTGTATGACATGTTATTCTATATTAGCATTCTTTCAGGTTAATTTTCAGCAAGATATAAAGTAATACATATGGTTATATACAAACAAACCTCTTCCTATTTCCATCCCCAACAATTTTTTCACTTTTTTTCTACCACTGAGCGACATCCCCAAATTAATAATTTTTAATTAATAAAATTAATAATTTTAATCTTTTAAAAATTATTTTGAGATAGGGACTTGCTAAATTATCCAAGCTGGACCTGAGTTTACTCTGTAGCCCAGCAGGCCTTGAGCTTATGATCCTTTTGCCCTAGACTCCTGAGAAGCTGGGGTTACAGGTCTCTGCTACCAGCTCTGGCTAATTTTCTGATTTTCTAATTTTCTGTCTAATTTCTTCTCCAACTCTGAATGAGGTAATTACTCTGAAAAGTTGAAGTGTTTTTTAAAAATTTCATTTAAACATACATATTTTCTCTTACAAAGACATATATAACAAGTGTAAGTATCCTGTGGTGTCTACACACAAGCAGCAGAACATATACAAGCTGCCTCCTACACACTTCTGGATATGCTCCCTTTAAATACTAACACCACAGAGTATGAAATATCTGGTTTAACAACTGGTCTACATGACAAGCATAAACTATACAGATGATAGACAGGTTTACCTCTAAGGGAACTGCAGTAATCATTAAGGGCACTGTTCTAGGAGCAAGGAAGAACATTTGCTTTCTCTTCAAACAACAGCATATCCATTCCCATGTTGGATAGTCTTCGTTTTTAATCCTAGTATTCAGCATTTTAAAATATTCAATGTTATGATGCTTTCCTTTAGTAAGCTCTAAAAAAGATATGGAGGTAGGCTGCAAATCTGGGGACATGAATAATATTTTTAATTTCCATCTATGTGCCAGGCACTGTTTCTGGTACAGTGGATACAGTAATGAACAAAACAGTAAAAATTCCAGCCCTTATGAAATTAATATTCTAATGTTTTTAATGGAATTATTATAATAAATAGCACTGAAATAAGTCTGGCTGTGAGTTTATGGTTTCCTAGTTCTACTCTCAGTTACAAGTGTAAGAATCCTTGCAGGGAGAGGTAGTACACACCTTTAATCCCAGCACTCAGGAGGCAGAGGCAGAGGCAGAGGCAGAGAGATCTCAGAGTTCAAAGCCAGCCTGGTCTACATAGTGAGTTCCAGGGCACAGGGAGACCTTATCTCAAAAACAAAAAAACAAAACAAACAAACAAAAAACAAGTGTAAGCACCCCCTGGGAAATTAAAAAATTATTCAGAGACACTAAGAGCAGATTATTCACCTCAATTTTTTTTATTTGCACTCAATGAAAAAAAAAAGTAAGTCATGAAGAAGAAATGAACAAATACGGTAGTCTCATTTGGAATTATCTTTGAGTGGATCCAGAATGTAAATTAAAAATATTGCCTAAAAAATTTTATAGATAATTTCTACTGGCATATCTTCAAACTCTACGTACTCTGGGTTGAAGGCTATATGATAAAACCAATTTTGCTTGTAATTCTGTGAAATAGGAATTATGCCAGTAAGATTCCCATAACCCAGCATCATAGGTAAATCACAACTACTTTAGGCAGCAAAGTTGCATAAGATGACCCAAAATATATTGGTCCACACACAGCTTTCTCAAAAAAAAAAAAAAAGTCCTATCACTTGTTCTTCATATACTTCCCCCAAAATTTTACTACTATCAATTCAATGTTATAAAGTCAACCCAGAAAATCAGAAGTTGGTAATCTATTTACAAACCTGTGTTTCCACTGCCATTAACAGCTTCCTTGTCCTCATCTTCTTCTTCTTCAGGAAGAGAGCTGTCCATTCTTTCCATCTTGCTGACAGATGTAGTTCGTTTTCTTTGTGATTCTGTGTCAAACTCATTATCAAAGAGGACCTGATCAACCGGATCTGGCTGAAAAGGACTAGGCTCTGCTGGAGGCTTGGGAGTGCCATAGAAATTTCCTGCAGTGGACAAATGACAAGAGCTGAAAGCACTAATGTTGACGGAGTCAGAACAGTATGGCTTAGAGTATATGTCTACTGTCTCTACACTGAGGTTTTCTGAGTATCTATCATTGACCAAAAGACAGCAAAAGTACTCTCTGAGAAAGGAAGAGGCAGAAATGAGGGTAAGAATTAATTTTCATACATCTTGTCATATTAGCTAACATTTTAATACAGATGGTACTAAGGACAAGAAGTTGACTGCATATGCAGATTATCCCTAGAGGGCTTTCTTTACATGGGTTCAGAAATGGGACTAATTTGGGAATATGAAAGTATCAATTTTCTTATGCAATAGCACAAAAGGTAAAGGATAAAATTAAACTCAAATACTTTTGTCCTAATGTATAAAATGAACTATTTTCCTAATATGAGAATACATGTGAACAGAGGCTAAGGCTAACTAAGAACTAATTAGTTCATATAGAAAAGCATTGATTTACATAATTTTAAAAAGATCTGCATATTCTAATTTTATTACTTTATATGGAAATTTATTGAACAAAGATATCATTAGTCTAGTTCCATATTAGTTTACATTCAAAACAGCAAGAAATATTTTAATTTTCTTTTGAGGATCAGTGATTTTTATGGGACAAGAAACTGGTCCAGAGAAGAATGAAAAGAGCTGCAATTTTTTTTTTCCAGTCTGCCATTCAGGCACATGGGACATACAGACACAAAGGAAAAATACTCAGCAGGTCTGGCTACATAAAGAGTTCATAGCTCCCACTCATTTTGACCTTAAATCAATCATATGTTAATATTATAAAAAGATAACTATGGTTAAGAAGTAAAACACTTGTGATCCTTTATTGTTTTGCTTATAAAATATCATGCCCACTAATCAAATTGTTTGGATTCTAAGGCAGTAATGAGATGCTCATTGACATAACAGAAATTAAGGAGGTAAATGGATCTTTTCTCCCTAGATAGAAAAAAATATGGTGATCCTCATTACATTGAGACAAATCTAGAAATAACATGGTGTGCCTTTAATCAGCATGTTAGAGGAAGAAAGCACTAAGATGAATTATATATGTGTAGTTTGACTGTATGTGGCAATTATCAATATTTAAGATAAACAAGGACATCAAACTAAAGACTTTTCAACTATGTCATGCTTCTCCCCACTTGGTTACTTCTTTGCTTCCAAATCTATGTTTGAAATGGGTTATGTCATACAGATGTATACAAAGATTTGTATTAAAACAAATTAGACTTTCCGTAAATTTTCTGCCTTAAAAGGAAAGAAGAGTTCACAGTTTTCCGGGAAAAACACCTAAGAGACAGTCCAAGCAGAGGTTTTCTTGAGGAATAAAATGCTCTATAATCTTAAACTTTTAAAAAAGATTTTATTTATTTTTATTTTATGAGTATGAGTATTTTGCTAGGTTCTCTGCTAAGAACAGGCAGTGTTCTTAACCTCAGAATAATCTCCCCAGTCTGTAAATGTTCAATAATCTTAATTTTTCTTTTTTCTTTTTTTTTGAGACTGGGTCTCCCTGTAGGTCCAGCTGGTCTGGAACTCGCTACGTAGATCACACTGGCCTTGAATTTACAGAGTTCTGACTGCCTCTGCCTCCCGAGTGCTGGGATTAAAGGAGTGCACCACCATGCCCAGCTTAATTTCTCCTTTTTATTTTTATATTTTTTTTCCTTTTTGAAGCAGGATCTCCCTGTAGCCCCAGATGCTTGGAACTCACTATGTAGACCAGGCTGGCCTTGAATTCACAGAGATCCACCTGCCTCTACCTCCCAAGTGCTGGGATTAAATGCATGCACCACCACGCCTGGCAATTTCTCCTTTTTAAAACCTAATAGTCACACTCTCAATCAAGGACTCTGGATGAAGCATGATAGGCATACAAGTCCACTTTTTCTGGAGACAATAGAATTATTCAAAACACATTTTACTGTGAATTCTCAGTTGCTGTTATCTAACTATAGAAGGTTTAATGTATTCTTAAAGAAAAGATTAGAAAATGCAGATTATAATTTCTATTCATAGTCATTGAAAGACTTTAGGGCTTCATAATAATTTTTTTTCAATTTCTATCTTTAAAAATGGCCTCTCCATTTTTATTTTAAAATTTTATTTATTTTTATTTTATGTGTATGACTCTGTTGCCTGCATGTAGTTAGGTGCACCCATGTCATGCAATGCCTATGGAGATCAGAAGAAGGTGTCTGATCCCCTGGAATTGGAGTTACAGGTGGTTGCTAGCCATCATGTGGGTGCTGGGAATTGAACCTGGGTCTCTGCAAGAGCGGCCAATGTTCTTAACTGCTGAGCCATTTCTCTGGCCCCTAGCCTTTCCATTTTTATAACACAACTATCAACTATTAAATATTTCAAGTATATATAAAGTTAGAGATAATAGTATCTGAATCATATTAGAGGTGTTAACTTCACTCATATTTACTTATATGACTATAGGTATATTTATTTTTTACATACATATTCCTTTAGGTATTAGATTTTTTAAAATTCTAATCAATTTTTAGTAAAAATAATTCCTTAGTTTTATGTATTTATTTTTTGCCTCCAACTCACAGAGATTCACTTGCCTCTGCCTCCCAAGCACTAGAATCAAAGGTGTGCACTACCATGCCTGGCTCTACTTCTGTCTTTTTGACATAGGGTCTTATGTAAGCCAAGGCTGGCCTTGAACTCTGGATCCTCTTGCCTCCTCCACCTCCCAAGTGCTGATATTGCAGGCATGTTCCATTATGCTTGATTGTAGCTGCATTTGTTGTTGTTGTTCTTTTCCTTTTAAAGATTGTGCCTACTTCTAGAACCATTAGGTTTGCAAAATTATGAAACTAATGTAACATGTCAAGGATGTGGAGCCATTAATTACAGCTACAACAGGAACCCTCGTGAACTGTTGCAAAGAATGGAGGAGAGCTATTCAAAACCACCTCATCAGATGGAGTGTATATAGGTCACAAGTCAAGAACTTTGGTCTATCACTAGGAAAATGGTTATATAAAATGCAATGGGAGGGGTGGGGGGGGCAATGCTGGGTGTGGTGGTGCATGCCTTTAATCCCAGCACTCAGGATGCAGAGGCAAGACAATCTCTGTGAGATCAAGGCCAGTCTAGTCTACATAGTGAGTTACAGGCATGCTGGGGCTAGGGAGACCCTGTCAAAAAACAAAAACAAAATTAAAAAACCCCAAATGGAGCCAGTAGATTTTAATGTATGCACACATATACATATCTGTGTAAAAAATAATAATGAGTCAATAAATTAAGAAATGAATGAGAGAGAACACAAATTATAGGTAAGTAATAAATACGTGTAAGGCACAATAGATGTTTTATAAGAACATATATAAACAACCCATATACTAAAACATTAGAAAAGTTAACTGTAAGTTATTTGCTTAAAAGTGAAAACAAATAAGTAGCTTGCCCATGCTTTTGATAAGTCTTCACTGACCAGCCTATCTAAAAATGATATTCCTATCATTTTTCTTTAAATTTCTTGTTGTTTCCTTCACAGAACCTCAATTTACACTTGATTTTTAAATGTATTTTTTTATTGCCTTCCCTACTAAGATACAAGACTCATTAAAGCAGTAGCATTTCAATCTTGCTCATCATAGTATTGCTGGGCCACTTAAACTATTTAGCATATAGTAGGTACTTGACAACTTGTTGCTGAATTAATGACACAGGGTCAAATCAATTAATAAGTAAATGAATGAGTCATGGGTCCTAAGCCCAGAAAAACTAGTTAGGCCAAACTTTGCAAGGGAGAGAAAATGACTCAAAGTTCTAAATAAGGGACAGGATCAGAATGATTAGAGCTGAGCTTGAGGAAATCCAGCATTGTAGTAAAGGGCGGGATACAGTACGTGGACAGAGGGAGAAAGGAAACAAAAGAGAATAAGTGCAATAGTGTAATGAGCTTGTCTGGCAGGCCAACCTTGAGGAAGTTAAAGTGAAAAGCAGAGTACTCTGCAAATGGCTACAAAGAAGAAATTACTAGATCTGGAAAATGACAAATGAAATACATTTTTTGGATTGACAGGAATGTTTATATATACTTTGAATTCAAGGTTAGTTATCTATTAAACATCAACTCTAGACACCAAAGACAGCATTGAGTAAGAAAGGCATTATCACTGCCACTATAGAACCTGTGAAACAGGCAATGATAAAACTGGGACAAAGTAGTGATGGAAAATCATACATACTATGGGAGTGGATAAGCTTACCACGTAAAACGTCTTAGATTAGAAAAAACAAGTACCCAACATAGAATCATTTAAGAGTTCAGCTGATCTTGTTTGTACTTTGCAGAAACATGTGGGTAGAAGAAACAGAGATATGACAATCAGTGAATATTATTTTGGTTCTCCCCGCCCCATCTGTATTTTCTTTTCTGCATGATTTTGGTATATATACAGCTTTTTTTAAGAATACAGATTTTAGATTTCCACCCACAAACAGGAAGTCAACAAGAAGTACTTGTTGAGTTCAGATGATGACTGTGAAATGCTATGAAATATGTAAACTTGCCAGTTTAATTTTTACATATTTGTTCACAATCATCTTTTTAATGGAATGTAATAATATTTTTGGTTATTGTTTAATCCTGCTTGAATCAGTAAATGAAGAATCTCTTAATCCAAAGAAAAATTTCCTAATAATTTTTAAAAATCATATTTACTGATCGAAATCTCTCTGAAATAAAACTAGTCATCTTGATAGCTGTGGGGTGCTGTTAATATTTGGGGACATACCATCGTACGTTCCACTTTCTAATAATGCTCCGCTCTCTTCCAGTGCTTTAAACTGTTCAACAGAAATGAAATTATAGTCCACCCCTGGAACTTCCCCATCCCTGGGAGCCCTTGTTGTACCTAAGGAAGAAAGAAAAAAAGAGTTGTAAAGTACTTTTTAGGTTACAAACCATTCAGAATAAAAGAAAATTTAGTCTCTGGAGACTATATGGGCAACATGGCCTACTGAATATACTGAAAAAAAATATATATGGAATAGATAAGGATCAGAAAATTTCAGGTATCTTACAATAGGAGTAAATATATTTCATTAAATAGCCATGAAATTCAAATTATAAATCATAAATTTTAGTGCTAATAAGGATTTTCACAATATATGATAATTAGTTTTTAATCCCATTTATTGTTACTTAACAGCTAGAAAGAAAGATAAATTCACTAGTGACAGACTTTGTTCCCTTCAACTTTATTAAGGCACAAATGACAAATATTATATATATATATGTGGCATATAATGTGCTGTTTTGCTATATATAACACTCTGACATGTAACTTCATTTTTTTGTTTTTTTGAGACAGGGTCTCCCGGTAGCTTCAGCTGTCCTGGAACTCACTATGTAGACCAGGCTGGCCTTGAACTCACAGAGATCCGCCTGCCTCTGCCTCCCGAGTGCTGTGATTAAAGACGTGCGCCACCACACCTGGCACATAACTTCATTTTTAAGCAGTTATCCTGTTTCTTTTCCTTAGACTTATAAACCACGTTTTACTTAACGATAGTCTTGAAAGACAATAGAGAATGAAACACTTTTTATAAGCATTTAAAATGTCTATTTTGAAGCTTGGACAAATATTATGAGATTATTTTTAGTCTACAGAATAAAAGGACTCACACGTTGCTTCTTGGTAATTTTTCTCATCAAGTAATTTCTAAAACCTAAGCAGTAAACAAACAAAACTTACTACATCAACATATCACCAAATTTTCGTGCTTATAAAGAATTCATGATAAAGTAAATTTTATCTTTCAGATTAAAAGTACAAAACCAGATTGTGCAGCAATACTACACTTGACTGAATCTTACTAATCGGGAATCAAACATTTACACATGTTATTTGAAATACCATTTAAAATACTAAAAGGTACAAAAAGAGATCCAAGGTCTTGTCTGGGAAATGGAGCAAGTCCTGTGCAAGGAGCCTTCCCAAACCATTTGGATTCTTAGGTTCTGTCTTGAGAGTCAGACATCTCTACTCCACATTCAGTCTCCAATTTATTTCCTCTTCTAAATTCTTCTTGACACTTCTCATCTCACAACCACCTATTTTCACATCAGCCTGTACTGCTGCACCTTCAGGTCAACCCTTGCCTGGCTACACCCCAAAGAGCAATCTGAGTGAAAACAAGAAACCTCCCTCCCAAACCCTCCATGGCTTCCCATGAGCCTTGGCATAAAATCCAGACCGTAGTATCTTAAAAGACCCTCTGCAGCCTGGTTCCTGACCACTTTTCCAGCTTTTTCCATTTCTTTTCCTTCTTCTTTTCTTTTTTTTGAGACTGAGTTTCACTATGTAGACCAAGCTGGTCTTGAACTCACAGCAATCTTCCTGCCTCAGCTTCTTGAGTGCTGGGACTACAGGTATGCGGCACTCACACTTGGTTTTCCAGCTTGTTTCTTACATCACTGCTTTCACATGCTAGCCTTAACCACAAAAGATATTTTTTATTACCATTTTAACATTCTTTGCATCCACTGACCTCCAATAAGTGAGTGCTTTGTCTCAAAGGATGTCCTCCTCCCTTTCTCATTCTTAACTCAGGTACTTGGCTTAGGAAGTATCTTAGAAAACATTCCCTGAGTTCCAGCTAGCATATAGCAACATGCAGAAACATGTTCAAAGTCTTGGTGTGGTACAAGGATTTTAGAAGTACTCAATATACACAGCTGTCAAAGTAAGTGAAAATTTAAACAAATGTGATAACCTAAAGATATACTAAAGCAATATACTATTATTGTTATTAACAGGAAGCTCACAACAGCTATATTTTTTATCTGTAAGATGTGTAAAAGACTCACACAGAGGACAAGGATACAATAATCATGGGTTGAGAAAAACAATAGCTAAGCCAATATTCTGCACAACAGTAACTGTACAGAATTTTCTCCATCATTTTAAACCTACTGTTTTCTAATGTATACACATATGTATATATATTACCTAATATATGCTTCATATTATAAAGGATACAAAGTTGGAAAATATAGCTTCCTTTTAAAGCATGTTTTCATTGTTGAATTTGTTTCACATATGTTGAACAAACTACATTGTTAGATTCCTTAAATCAAGAGCTTCTAGCTTTATATTAAAAAGTAACCTTTAAAGAAGCTTAATGGTTAAAATTGTAATTACCTATTAAAGATGGAAAAACATGGCCATAATAATTCTATCTATTAATTTCCATTAAGAGTTGGGGCCTGTTTTCTCACCCCTTGAGACTAAACTGGATTCTTTACTTTCTTCTATTAATTTAATGGAGAACATGATGTGCAAGTTTAGAAGTCTACATGTCCATCTTTACCCTCCTGCAATGCTCCCATTATTATGCAAGGAAAGTCAGGCTAGACCACTGAATAATTAAAGCTTCAGCCACCAAACAGCACCTAGGCCCCAGACATAAAGGTAAAGTCATCCCAGCTTCTCCAACCCCAGCTGGGCTGTGGATGATTTCAGCTATATCAGTGATCTCAGCTAAGCCCAACCACCTTATGAAGTCACAACGCATGGTGGCTACTTTAAACCACTAAGTTTCAAGGTGGTCTGCGATGTAGCAAAGGCTAATTGGATATGCGAATAAACTCTACCATGAAATATAAAATACAACTTATAAGCAAATCATATTATGGATAATACAACACTGACCCAAGGGGCAGGAGGAACTATCTTTTAGTCTGGGATTATTATTAATGGTACAATTGGGAGCAAGCACTTAACCTCTGGAGTTCATTCTCTTTCTGCAAAATGGTGTTGAGCAAGATGATATTCATGATTCTTTTACTAATAGATGCTATTTGTGATTCCAATACCTATATTTCTAAAATTTAGAAAGTAGCTTTAGTGTTAATTCTCTATACAAAGTATTATACTTTGTATTATGTATGTTCTTCCCACACATATATAAAAATTTCTCCTCTTTCTAAACTTACCCTACTGCCTTTAGCATTTCAGGATATTTCTTTAGTCTCTTGATACTCTCTACACATCTTATGCATTTAAGTTACTTATCAATACATTTCTCCTTTTAAGGGGTTTGTTTACTCAGAGTTTCTACCTCCTCCCCTCATTCTCTCTGGAGTACATTCCAACCAGATCTTTTCCCCAATCACTCAGTAAGACAAGCAGTAGTCTCTTACTTTGCTTAACTCAATGATCATGTCTCAGTCATCATATTTCCTAAGATCATGTGATATAATGAATGTTCTTTTTTGTTTTATTCTGATGTACACAGAAAAGCATGTAAAACATACACCTAAAGTTTAACAATGAAGAAGTAAATCCATTCAGGTAAAAAACAGCTGCAACCATAAAACAGAACATTTCCAGGCCTACAAAAGGCTCTTTGTGTGCCTCTAATAAACCTCTCATTCTTTCCATTCCCAAAATAATCAATAACACCTTGATACTTTTGAAGACGACTTCCTTTCTGTTTTTTTGGTAATGCTAACGCATTTCTGCAATGCAGTATATTTTGTCTGGCTTGTATTTTTATGAGATGGCAATTATCCCATGTCCCATTCTCCTGTGTGTCCACACAGGACACTTGTTATCAGGTTTTAAAACCTCTGCCAATATGTTGAGTATGTCAAGGCAACTCAAAGTATATTTAATGTGCAACTGCCTTAGGAGATTAAAGGTTCCTTTTCAAACTCTTACTGGCTTCTATAGTCTGAATATCATTAATTGCAACTCAACTCATCTCCACCTCAACTTGTGTTGAAGCTTTGCCTCCAATGTAATAGTGTTGAGAGGTGGCAGGAGCATTAAGAAATAATTTAGGCCTGGATATATGGCTGAGCAGGTAAAAGCACTTGCCATACAAGCCTGATGACTTCAGTTTGATCCCAAGATCCCATGGTGGAAGGAGAGAACCAACACCCAAAAGTTGTCCCCTGATCTACACACAGATATACTCTTGTGCCCATGTACACACATACCACCCCCCACCCCCAATATAAAAAAGAAACCAAATGCAAACAATAACAACAACAACAGAACTAAACTTGTCATGGGCTCCATACTCATGAATGGATTAATGCAATTCCTGTAAAAGTGAATTAGACCATGTGCCAGGCATAGTGGCTCGTGCATCCAATCCCAGCACACAGGAAGTAAAGACAGCAGGACTGAGTTTGAGACTAGCCTGTGCTACATAGCAAGAAAACTTAAAAAAAAAAACAAAAACAAAGAGTAGGTTAGTTATTGTCAGAGTGGGTTTACATAAAGCAATCTGATGCCTTCTCTTTAAAAATTTTTTATTTTCATTCATTCATTCATTTATTGTGTATGAGTATTTTGCCTACATATATGTGAGTATATCCATGTCATACAATGCCCGTGGAAGCCAGAAGTGTCAGATCCCCTGGAACTGGAGATACGGGTGGTTGTCACCAGGTGGGTGATGGGATCCGAACCTGGGTCCTCTGGAAGACTGGCCCGTGCTCTCAACCACTGAGCTGTCTCTTCAGCCCCTCTCTCACTTTTTGGCAAATGTGTGCCTTTTGCGCACATGTTCATTTTCCTTTATGAAGCTCTTACCAAAAGCCAATCAAATGCTAGCACCATGCTCTTGGACAGATTCATGACTCAAAAACCAACCATTTTCTCTAGAAACTACCCAATCTCGAGTAATATGTTAGAAAAACAGAAAATGAGCTAAGCAACTAGCCATATAGATTCCCTCTGTTATAAAGTGGCTGTTCAAGTCTTTCTTTTACTTCTCTATTGGATTGTATTTTAAAAAGTAGTTCATTATATTCTAGATACTATAATAATCATCAAATCTAATTAGCCAAGAGCCTTTATAAAACACTATCATTTTATCTCTAAGAACTTAAAAATCC